TGAGGGCCAATTTCTTTAATATATGAAGAGCTTCTACAAATCAATAAGAAAGATGAACAACTCAATAGAATGAGGAGGCAAAGGAGAGGAACAGAGTTCAAGGAGAAGGAAACACAAATGGCTCTTAAGTATATGAACGGACACCCAACCTCATTAATTATAAAAGAAAATTTAAGCCACATTGTGACTTTTTCTCACCTATTAGATCAACTTCGTTGTTTGAGAATTGTGGAGAAACGGGCATTCATACATGGCTGATGGGATTGTACCTTTGGACCTTTACAGAGGACAATTAGAAAATATCTGTGAAACATGCACGCATATTCTCTTTGACTCAGCAATCCTGCTTCTAGGAATTTATCACCCAGAATTACTTGCATTGTGCAAAATGATGAATTCCAAGTTTATTCACTGTAATTATGTAATGGCAAAGATCAGAACCATCTTTATGTCAAACAGCATAGGCCAAGGCTATTAAATTACGTCTATCCTTAGTGGTGTCTGGTCCAGAAGAAAGTTGAAGAGATGGGACTAGAGTTCCACGAAGGCACAAATGTAGATGCATATTCAATAGTCAAAGGTCGAAGCAAAGGTCGAAGTGAGATAGAATCAGTTCATCTTATAACAGGGTGGTTCTAGACATTGTTCCTCACGGCAAGGACAAAATTTGATTCAACTCTGTATGCCCAGGATCAAACACTGTTAAGAATTTGTTAAAACAATGTATATACAGGAAAAAGCTGGAGAAATCAGAGAGGGTGAACCCGGGAATGGTGAAGAAGAGAGAGAAAGGAAGCCAAGATGATGTGACGATAGGGAGACAGAGAGGGAGTCTTAGACTGCACAGGATACAGCACAAGACCAGGAAATTCATGGGCCGAAACGACAGTACTGACTTCTGAATCAATCCTGGACCTGCTCTTCCATTGGATCTCTTGTGCTGTAGGAAAAGAAACCCTCAGTTTTCCCATCGGAAATAGAGGGGGTTGTATTTCATACATGAGGTCCGGGGTCCAGACGCGCAGCGCGGACACCCAGACTCCCTGCGCCCTTTCCGCGTCGGTCGCCTAGGAGATGAGCGGCATTTCCGGCAGCGGATTCCGGTCTTGGGAGGACCCGCCCCTTCCCCGCAGGCGGGCGCTGATTGGCCCGTTTGAAATGCGCCAGGCGCGAGCTCACCTGGGCTCGCAGCCGTGCGGCGGGGCTTGACGGAGCAAAGCGTCTCAGCCGTAGCTTCCAGTTTCGTGCGGCTCGTTTCTGCGACCCGCTGTCCTCGCCAGCCCTTCCAGCGAGCTTGGCGTCCCGCGCGCGCGTCTAGGCATCACGGAGCCTGCTGCCATGAAGCCAGCGTGAGTACGGGGCCGCGAAACCCCGGCCATGCCGCGCCTCTGGGGCTGGCGTCTCTTCGCGCCGCCGCCCGCCGCGGGCCGCGCAGTCTGCACCGAGCCCCGCGCTGCCCGGGCGGAGCCCCCAAAGTGGGAACCCCCACGTGGATTGCTCTGGGGGAGCCGTAGAGCCGAGACCCAGCTGGCTCGCACCTCAACCCCCGGAGCCGGGCGTCCGCAGTCTCGCGGCCCGGAGACGTCGGCCCCAAGTCGGGGGAGGGGATAAGGTTTGTGCCGCCACCTCGGTTCCCGTTAGCTGGGTTGCCTTCCACCTGGCTCGGGGCCGCCTCCTCCAACTCTCTAAGTCCTCCTTTTCCCTCCTGGCCACCAGCGCTGTACTCTCAGGCTGCATTTTGCCCAGTTAGTGCGCGGTCGTGTCGTGAGTGGAGCCGAGTGTTGCGCTCTGGTGTTTGGATTGACCAGGTGGTCTCACGCCCTGGAAGTCCTGAGCATTGTGTGCTTTTCACTGCCCAGCTCGGTGGCCCAGAGGCCGAGACCATCCCGTCGTATAGGCGGGTTACTTTTGCCCCGTTCTTTGGCCGAAGATGTATCCGCCCACATTCCCCATTAAGGTGGTATTTTCTGCGCAGTGCATTTCCTTGACTGCTACTGCGTAGAGAAATAATTGGGCAAAGAAGAGGGTTGACTTTGTAATTATTGTGTAGCTACTCATTTTCAAAAGACAATTTGTGTTCTTAGCAGACCAAAGTCAATATCTTTCTTTTTTAAGTGTTGAGTTTAAGTAAACCTACCATAATATTTTGGACTTAAAACACTAATTTGCTTCTGTTTCATCTGGGAAAATGTTGAGAAAATATTTTATAGAAAATAGTCTATAGTCCAAGCCAATAATTTCACTTACTTTTAGTGTTAAATGTTAATCCACCGTATAGATACGTCGGGGATGGGAGAGCATGCTAGAGAAATGGTGGAATAAATCATAATATCTTTTTCTATTGTCTCTACTGATTAAAAACAAAATTCAACTGAATAAATTTTAAAAATCTTACAGCCTTTATTAAACAATTCATGAATCAGGCAGCATCCCGTTTAACAATTAGAAAGATCTGAGGAGCGGTACAAAATGGGAGACTTTTATAGGGAGAAAGGGGCAGAAACAAGCAAAGGGCAGATTGTTCCAGGCAAGGGCACCTTTCTTTGGCTGACCACAGGGAACTATGAGGTGAATTACCTCATTAGTGCTGACCAGGAAATTCTATACAGACTGGCTGAGATTACGTTCCTGGGAGAGACTAAACTTGCAATTAGGTTAGGTATTAAGTCTTAGTTTGGTGATGTGGGCTTAGTACAGCTGATTCCGTTTTGGGCCCATTGTCCCCCCCGCCCCTTTTTCACACTAAAGAGCAAGAAATTGCAGCTTGGGGACCACATTTTGCTTGGGGACAAAGGATGATAAGTTTTGAGAATTTGAATTTGAGTTGTTCTTTGAAAATGGAGACATAAATGTTGATGAAAAAATGGATTCCTCTATCTGCATTTTTTATGATTTATTAAAGTTAATCACTTGCCATTCTGCCTTGGTAATGGCTGTTGGTGCAGTGTGTGCTTATGCACGTATACAAATGTCTTTCAAGCTAAGTATGGTCAATTATCTATAGATTTTCAAATTTATAGTGCCTAATGGTTGCTTAAGAAAATATCCACACTATTTTAAATATAAAGTAGGTATATTTAGTACCAAAAATGTCTCCTGAACCAAATTTTACTTTTGGATTATGCATGCCACAAACACTTATCTACTAATGCAAGCTATTAGTATTGAAGTGAAATATTGTTTTGTTTTGTTTGTTTGTTTTTTAATCTATGACCAGGAGGACTAAGACACCCAGGAAACCTGTAGTGAAAAAAGGATCCCAAACAAGTCTTAAAGACCCAGTTGGGGTAAGGTCTCCCTGTGAATTTATGTGTGTATATTCTTTCTTCATATTTTGTCTTATGTGTATCCTTGGAAGGGATGGAGAGGTAGAAGTGGAGTCAAAGAACATTTAGTTAAAAAGACTGTACTAAATTGCTTAAGGCTGGTTCCAGCTTTGAAATTTTGTTTCTGTGTAGGACTGGTCCAGTAAAATGAAGTAATGGAGTTTTTGGTTGTCGACAACATTTCCTATAACTAGTTATAATTTGAAAAGTTAGATAATGAAAAATCTGTCCCAGAGAATTCTTCGTACTCTCTGAGATGGGGGTTCACTTTCTGCTTTGATGAGCATCCTCTCCCATCTTTAGGACTGTTATACACTGACTGATGGCACACTTCATGAGGAAAGCCCCAAATTCCATGCTTTTGGGGACCAAGTTTCATTAAAGCTTTGGTGTAGAACAGTTTAGTTCAGTCTAATGACTGACTATACATAATTGCATGTACTTCACTAATTTCAGGCTTGGGAACTTTTAAAAGCAAATGGCAAACACAAGAAGGTTGGTTTGCATTGGGATATTTTAAATCTTCCCTTCATTGGAGTATGTCTTTTGGTCTGAGTTGAGGGTACCAGATGCTTTGCACATGCAGCTGACCAGTTTTCCTCAACCCTATCACTGATTAAGAAAACTACATTACAGCTCTTGTACCTACTTGTTTGTATATTAAGTGTTAAGCTGGCAAATTTTAACTGACATCCAATTCTAAAGAATTCTAATAGATTTTCAAATAATTCTCATTGTGTGATATCTTACGGATTTTTAGAGATTTTTATATTAGTAGTAGTATAACTTAAATTTGTGCTGATACAATAGTGATGAGAAGCTGTGGATTTGGTGCTTTTGTTATCAAAATTTGTTTTAATTTTATGCGCATTTAAAATCTCTCATATCATCTCTAAAATCTGTATTTGATGGTCTTGGGTAACAGGTTTTAGTTTTCATAGCTCTAAGTTTATATTGATTTCTTAAGAGACTAAATATTTATTGAATGAATGAATGGGAAGTTTAAATGGTAAGTCAGGTAAAAAGTCAACCTCTGTTCTTTAAGTATGTTCCTGTATTTTCAGGTATACTGTAGGGTGCGCCCACTGAGCTTTCCTGATCACGAGTGTTGCATAGAAGTGATCAATAATACAACTGTTCAGCTTCATACTCCTGAGGGTTACAGACTCAACCGAAATGGAGACTATAAGGAGGTACTTCCTATTGGAACCAAGCTGTTTTTACTTGATCTTTCCTGAGTGGCTTTTCCATTTTTAAATTTAACAAAATTCATGTGTTTCCACGTTTTCGAAAGACTTATTTCTTTACTATAACCATTATACCAAAAGTATTTTTAATTCCTGTAATATTTAGACACACCTTTAGTATACTGGGGTTAGAAGATTGCTTTTAGAGGATAATTTCTTGAACTGGGTATTTATTGCTTCTTAGAGCATACGTTAGAGTTTAATATGGAAAGATATATGATCGTGCTAGGAAGTTCATATATATACACACATATATATGCACAAACACACGCACAAAATTTCATGTGTAGAGATAAAATAGCATTTAGTAGACATTATATACTTGTATCTACTTCTTATAAAGTGTTTTTATTTTTAGTAAAATGTTGAATAAAGTGAGTTCAGTTCAGTTCAACAAGTGTGCTAAGCTGGAGGGTGGAAGGAGATTTTTTAAAATGTGTGAGACACAGTCCTTGGCCTTATGGAGCTTATAGCTTAGTTGGCACAGATGGTAAACAAATAATCTTCATAGAGATAAGACAGAAAGGTGGTTGAGCTATAAGAACTATGGGAATGCAGAAGAAAGGATTAATTCAGGCTGCATTATCTACATTCAAGCTGCCATTTACTCCTTTGTACACTTAAGTGAAATTGCTCATCAAAAGCCAATCAGTGGCCTCTTTGCTGCTAAATTTGATGGACACCTTTTCGTCCTCATTATAATCTTTTTCTCAGGAACACCCTCCTTTCTGAAACACTCTCCTGTCCCCCTCCAACTTTCCATGTTCTGTCTCTCCTTGGTCACTCTTTGTGCGTTCCTCCTTTTCCGACCTCTAAATACCAGATTGGGCTATACCTGGCCTCTATTTTCTATTTATACTTTTCCCTGGCTTTAAATGTTGATTACCAGGTAATAATTCTGAAATATTTATCTCCAGCCTAAACCTTTTCTCTAGCTCTAAACTTGAACATCCACTACTTGGATGTCACATAGGCATCTCAAATTTTACAAGTCTAAAAGAACTGTCAATATTTTTTCCCTCTAAATCACTTCCTCCCCTATCTTCTTACTAAATGGTGCCACTGTCTGTCTATTTACTCAAGCCAGAAACCTTGTTCCTACCTTTCTCTGGTGTCCCTCATATCCCATTCATCAGTAGGTCCTACTACTTCTATTATAGTGTATTTCTTGAAATTGTCTTTTCTATTTCCACTGTGATCACCCTCGTCTGAGCCCTGTTATTAATCATGGAGACCAGTGTTTCTCAAACTCTAGTGAAGGAACAGCTTTTTTCAGTGCACTGTGACTGATACTTTTGTGCAGCTTTGCTGCATGGAACTATCCATGTCAACTAGACAACACAGAACAGGTTTATAGTCTGTTTAGTGAGATAAGCCTATTGATCACATTCTGAGATGTTGCAGCCATGTCATGGCTACAAAAGTTTCTGAACATTTACTCTTAATTTCTGCAGTTACCTCCTCCTAAATTGGAAACCAACAGTTCTCAGAAGGGCACTGGTTTGCTGACCTTACTCTGAATAGCATTGGCAAGGCTGTGCTGAAGCCTCACTGAACTGTCTGCTTCCACTGCAGATCTTCTCTAACCTGTTTCCTACAGAGCAGCCAGAGTGATCTTTAAAGTCAGATCTCACCATTTTCCTGTTTAAAATCTTGCAAGGAATAAAGTTTTTAAATAGGCACAATCCTGCTTAATCTGCCTCCTGTCCATCTGGCCACCCCATCTCTTAGTACTACTCATCCAATCCTGGATTCCTTAGATAAACCAGAATTCTGCCTCGGGGCTGTTCCCTTGGCTTGGACTTCTTTTCCCTTGGTTCTTAGCATGGATAGCTCCTCATCCTTATGTTTCAGCTTAAATATCACCTCCTCAGAGAGTGTGTCCAGACTACCCCATCAGAAGTAGCACCTCTCCCCACCTGATCTGTACTGTGTGAACTTCATTGATAGCGCTTACACCATCTATAGATTTATTTACTTGTTTGTTGTCTCTATTCCCTGGTATAATGTAAGCTTCACGGGATATGCATCTTCTCTGTCCTGTTTGCCAAACACTAAATAAATATGGATTAAGCATGAATTAATGGTCCAGAAAGGCTTCACGGAGAAGTAGGCCTCTGAGGATGTAAAATAGTTGAAATCTGACTTACTGAATTTTACTTATTAGACTCAATTTCCAGTATGTGTAAATAGTACAAGAAGGTTTGGTGGAGATGAAAAGTTCTTCCGCTCTTGACAGAAGGCAACACTGAATAATGGAAAGAGCATTGGGCTGGAAATGGCTTTGACACTAATTAACTCCATGGGCTTGGGGCAAGTTCCTCCTTTGCCTCAATTTTCTTCACCTGGAAAGGAGAGGTTTGTTCCTGAGGACTTGGAGTTCATCTAACCTGCCAGCACTATCTTGTATGTATTCTTCCAGTTCTAAGATTCTTTGTTCTTTTTGTGAATTCTAGAGCTGTTTCACAGGATTGGAAAAAAAATTTTTTGCAAAGGTAAGAGTTAGCCTAGCTGAAATAGGTGTGCGATCTTTAATAAGTTATCAAATAAGCATAATAATTAGTACCTACCTCAGAGATTGTAATAGTGAAACGATTTGCCATGATGCTAAGGCAGTGCTTGGGACATGATCAGTGCTAAGTGTCAGCTGTTGTGTATTGATCTATACATTGGGGGGACAAAATTGCTAATTTTAAAAACATAAGGGTCACGATATCTGAGCAGGGAGAATTTAAGGTAAAGGGTGTAAAACAGAAAAAAGCCATTTGATAAAAGTTATAATCCATAATAAATTCTGAAGAATACTCATGTACTAGATAACTTAGCACTGATAGTCATGAAGCGAAAACAGCAAGAAATTCAGGAAACCTGAAGAAACAATTGCAATGTCTGCAGTCCAATAAAACTAGAAAATAAGAAAAATAAATAATAATAAAACTCCAGCCCCTGGACAATTAGGATATTTTAATTTACATCTCCAATCTAAGTTTTAAAATAGGAGTTTGGCAATATTTTTGGTAATATGGTTATTCTTTATTATAATCATGTTTTGAATGCAATTTGATGTTGAAGTTTGCTTTCTTAAAGGTCTAAATTTATTTAAAGTTTTATTTCATATAAGAACTCACATGAGTTTATATTTACAGTTTATTGCTGGTTTTAAAAAAACCAGTACATCAAAATACTTGGTTCTATGCTGCTATGCCATTTAAAATGACACCTTTATTTAAAACAAAATAGAAAGCAGTAAAATGAAGTAGTACTTGAGGATTTTCATAAGTCTATCAGTCATAATACCTTTTGATTTTGGTCATTTAATTAAAACAAAATCAGCCTTAGTTTATGAAGCATTAGTGAGCTTAAGATTTTTCTACATTCTCTTCAATAGTTATAACTAAATATTTAACAATTTATAATTGATAAGTAGGTACGTCATGACTGTTTTTAAGGGTTCCAAGTTTAAAGACCATTCATACTTTGCCTCTACATCTTAAGAGTTCATAAAGAAACATCTGAATAAGTTTAAACAGATGTGTTTCTAGCCTAGATATAGTGGAATCCATTTATGCTTTTTATTTTTCCTTCTCCACAGACTCAGTATTCATTTAAACAAGTATTTGGCACTCATACTACCCAGAAGGAGCTCTTCGATGTTGTGGCTAATCCCTTGGTAGATGACCTTATTCATGGCAAGAATGGTATGATTCTTGGAGCTTTGTTGGGTTTTTCTTTTTCTCCCCCTCTGATAACACTTTTTTGTTACTTAACACATTTGGTTTATATTCAGCTTTGAATTCAGATTTGTTGGGGTGGTGTTAAACCTGCTACTTTGAGCTGGTTAATTTTTAAGTATTTTTTAATACAGTGAAGAAATGTAACCCAGTGTGATTGCTTGCTCTGTTGTAGGTCTCCTTTTTACATATGGTGTGACGGGAAGTGGGAAAACTCACACCATGACTGGTTCTCCAGGGGAAGGAGGGCTACTTCCTCGTTGTTTGGGCATGATCTTTAACAGTATCGGGTCATTTCAAGCTAAACGATATGTAAGTGTAATTCTTTTGTGTTGTAACTGTCTCACTTGAGGACATGGCCAAGATACTTATGGATACAATAGTATTAAGGGAGAATGAATTGGCTACATTAACATTGGACACATTTTGAAGCTTTATATATATATTTAAATTGCATTTACTATGTTTCTTATTTCTTAAACATGTTTCTTACTATTTAAGTCAAATTCTCAAAATTATGGTCTGATTTTTGCCCCTACTTCAGGTTTTTAAGTGTAATGATAGGAATAGCATGGATATACAGTGTGAAGTTGATGCCTTATTAGAACGGCAGAAAAGAGAAGCCATGCCGCATCCAAAGACCCCTGCTATCAAGTAAGTGATTACATTTGTATGCAACGCAGGGCCTAAGGGAACCCTGTCCAGTGGTTTCCTCAGGCATAGGAAATGGTGAACAAGAAAAACATGAAGCTGAGAAGATGGTCTGACAGTTGACTTTAATGAGATCAAAGATGAGGAATGTTCCTAAGTTTATTTGCTCACATGTTTTTTTTGTTGCTGTTTTGTTTTGAGCACACTGCCTTTGAATTACTACTTAGAGAAGGTGCCTCTCTGGGTGGGAGAGAGTATAAAAGCCTGTGCTGTGTATCTGGGAGGACATGGGAATATTGTTGGCCAACTGTGAGTGTGAATAAAGTTATTTTGTGCATTTCTGATTGTAATGGCAGGTCATTTATGTTATATCTTTTAGTTTCCCTTTGGGATCATTTACTTTTGATATTAACTCAATATATAAGATCAGACTTTTTGGCTTTTTTTTCCCCCTTTTTCAGACGACAAGCAGACCCAGAGTTTGCAGATATGATAAATTTACAAGAATTTTGCAAAGCAGAAGAGGTTGATGAAGATAGTGTCTATGGTGTATTTGTCTCTTATATTGAAATATATAATAATTACATATATGATCTATTGGAAGAAGTTTCGTTTGATCCCATAAAGCCAAAGTAAGTAGTGAAGAGAGCCCCTTCTTAGCTGCTTAATCTCAGTAAGTCTTAGTTTCCTCAGCTGTAAGTGGCAAAGGCTTACTTTTGCTTTCAAAATGAAATATAACTTGTATATCATGCAGTTAGTGCTCAATGGGTCATTTTATTATTAACTAGATATGCAGGTATATTAGGGACCTACTGGGTTAAGACATCTAAGGAGGAGAAAGACCTGAATATTCATCTTAGACATTACTTTTGAAAACTCTTGGCCCTGGGCTATATTTTAAGAAGGACCTTAATTGTATAAGGCAGTGTCCCTATAGATGTGCCCTGGGGTTACCTTTCAAGAACCTGACAGTGTTGAGAATTTGTAGCCATTTCAGCTATCTGTGTCTTGGTGATCTGTATAGAATGGAGCCTAAAGTTGTCTGTACAACTGATACACACCTTCCCTCATTGATGAATATGAAGTGACATCTGTATTGTCATTCTGCCAGAGTTAAAAGACTACTCCTTAGATTTCCTTGGGTCTTGCCGAGAATGAAGACCAATTACAACCTGGTTCACAAATGATAAATCTGCATTCACGTCTAATGTTGATATCTTGTTCCTGAGTTGATGGTTTTATTCTTAAGCTAAATGCTTATCTTCAGTGCCCTCTTTAGTAGGACCTCTCAGGGGATAAATAATATGAAGACCTGTGTTTTATATTTAACTTTTGTGTGTATGTCTAATCCAACATTATTGGAGAAATAGCTGGATTTAAAAAAACCATTAGACTGAGAACAGGTTTCAGTATATCCACCTTTTTTTACGTTAAACTGTATAGACTACTTTTCCATTTGTTTCAAAGTCCCTGTTCTGTGTACCCATTTTCCTAAAGTTTTGTGATGTCCTTCATTGCTATCAGTTTCACGTCTTCACATGTGCCAAGTTTCTGTTTGGTTTGTTCTAAGTGAAATTATTTTCAAAGGAGACTATTGATTTTATTTAGTTAAACAAAAAGGACTGACAAATGTGACTTATGTCGTGTAACCTTTCTGGTAACTCCTTGAATGAATTCACAGGGCACTTATTTAGCACTGAATTTAGATTTAATTTGTTAGGGAGGTGTATAACTGCTTTTTGAGCTGATTAACATTTAGTGTTTTTTCCAATACAATGAAGAAATACTGCAAGTGGAGAATTTTAAAGATAGGACTCATTGTGACTGTCACATAGTGTGGACTGAACATGTTGCTCTTGATATAGCTGCTGTAGAAACAGTAACTTGTAACTTATACCTTATTCTTTTGGTAGGTGGAACAGTTGCAGCACGCCCATGAGGAACACAGACTTTGTGTATGTGATGGTGTTGGCTCTTTTATTAAGGAGAAGGGTGCAGTTATACTAGTGTTTGGCATCTGTGGCATGTTTGCATGTAGGTGGTTTTTCATTGGCATTGGGCTGGCTACTACATATGAGCCCCTCCTTGCTTCCTGAAAAATCTGCCATTGAGTGATGGTGGCTGGTAAATGTTTCTACCCCCACTTTTCACAAGACTTAGGCCAAACTGGCAGCATCCTTTCCCACCCTTATTTTGCCATACAGACTAAAACTTGACCAGCTACTTTAGAAGGATTGCCACTCCTGGTATATACCAAACTTGTTCTGAATTTTTTTTCTTACATTAAGGTCAGAACCAGCTCTGTCTGTTGCTCTTTTAAAATTAGGACAATGCTATACTTTGATGCTTAACCTATGCATATGATGTTGCTATAATACTACTTTGATTTCTGTTTAATAAGTGTTTCATGTGCTTTGTTAGAACAAATTAGAGCAAAACTTTTAAAGCAAAATAGGTTCTTGTTATCCTGTTAATGTAACTAATCTTGACTGTATATCCTTATAGTTATAGTTATCTGTTTAATATTTTTCTGGGGTCTTGCTTAGGCTTATTTCCATTATAAGAATAGGTGTCATTGTTGCCTTGCATTTTAGTCCCAGTCTTAAGTTGAGATATTAGTAACTCTTAATTTAGGAAACTAATGTTTTTCTTTTTCTTTCTCATAGACCTCCGCAATCTAAATTGCTTCGTGAAGATAAGAACCATAACATGTATGTTGCAGGATGTACAGAAGTAGAAGTAAAATCTGTTGAGGAGGCTTTTGAAGTTTTCTGGAGAGGTTAGAGTTAAAATTAGATAACTATAAAATGATAAATATATTTGACAGCAGTACTTTTTGGCTTAGTAAAAAGCATGTATACTGAAATGGCTGGGTTCAGGTTTGATCGATGATTTTTCTGTCATCATAGGCCAGAAAAAGAGACGTATTGCTAACACACATTTGAATCGTGAGTCTAGCCGTTCTCATAGCGTGTTCAACATTAAATTAGTTCAAGCTCCACTGGATGCAGATGGGGATAATGTCTTACAGGTAAAGTTGTAGTGTGTGGAATTTTTCTTGTTCTAACTAAATCCTTAATTTTTGGAATTTGATAAGGGAGGTTTCATTATAATGGAAATTGCTCTAGAATTAATATATATATAAATGATGACTTTAATTGTTCCATCAGATAGTTTTGGGAAATTGGCTGTTGAATCTTAAAGCCTGGAATTTTCCTGTGAAGGATTTACAAATCTTTATAATTCTCTTTAATAGAAGAAATAAGAAAAATGTGTGATTCATTGTTTTATTTCCAAAGACTCATATGTGGAAATTCAGTTAATGGTTTTAAAATGTCAGCAATTAACTTTCCAGGGAAGGTACACTTCAGGAGATGGCCAATTATAAGTTGTCCTCCTCTTGGCTGATAGGCCAATAGGGCCTCCTAACTACTGATTACTATTTACTGCTGGGCCTGTCATGCTATAGGGCTTAACATCAATTAGAGCATTTGCACCTAATATAAATCATTTAATAATGTTAAGCTATTAAAGTGTAATTCTATTCAAAATATATTATGAAATTGTGGTATCATCAGGTTTCCAGGTGGCAGAAGGAGATGGTACAGCATAATACTAAAGACCACCAGAGATCAAATTCTGATTCCTATTAATTTACTAGCTATCTTACCTAACTGTAATAAACACCTCATAATGTCGAGAGGATTAAAGGTGGTAGTACATATCAAGTTTACTCCAGTGTTTGGTTTACAGGCAGCACTCAATAAATGTTAGCCAGAAAATGCTTGTAAGTCAAGCTTCCACATACACTTGATTTCTTTTGAATCACATTTACTATCACAGTATCAGTTATGTACCACTTGACTTTCATTTCTCATAAAAATTATTAGTGTATTATTAAATTATTAGATAAAATTATTAAATATCTGATTATAGAAAAATTTAGGATAGCCTTGTTCTAGACTCACTATTTAGCAGATATTCATTGAGCCTCCTGCTGAGTGCTAGCCAGTGTGCAAGGTGCCAGAGATAAAGTTGTTAGAAGGCAGAGTTCCTGCTCTTATGGAGCTAACTATAACATAGAAGACCAGACAATGGACAAGTGATCATTAGTGTTGTGAGTATATTTATCACATGCTTTTAGCAAACTCTTCCCCAAAACTTTATATATAGCCTTTACCCCTTCTGGTACATTTTCATATTATGCAAATATATTCATAATATAATTTGTTGATCTGAATATATTTAAAGGACAATGTAAATCAGTATAGCTCATGTTATGTTGTTGGCATTATGATCTTCCCTTCAGGAAAAAGAACAAATCACTATAAGCCAATTGTCCTTGGTAGATCTTGCTGGAAGTGAAAGAACTAACCGGACAAAAGCAGAAGGGAACAGATTACGTGAAGCTGGTGAGTGAAGCATAGTACTTACTTATTGCTACAACTTTCAAAACTGCAGTGTCAGTTTATCAGTCTTATTGATAGGAGGTTTACACATAATTATGTTCAATTTCATAACTCAGAGGCTTGGTTTAGTGGTCAGTGCTGTTTCTTTAGTTATGCTGATTTGGTATCTTACAATGCACTGATTAAGAACATGGAAAAATTACTAAAATATGTTATATTCATATTGAAAGAGTCTGTTATATCTATTGCTGGTACTGTTAGTACTGGGTCCTTAAAGTGAAGTTATTAACAGTCCAGCATCCAGAGTAAAAATCAGCTTCCAAAGATGGGAAAACTCTTTGAACACAAATCCAATTGAAAGGAAATCTGTTTCTTTTTTTTAATCTTTATATAGCCATTGAAGTTATGTTTTATGTTAACATTTATGTAGTACCTACTGTGTGTCAGGAATTGAACACAGATATAAAGGATGGAGCTTGCCCTAGAGAGCCCAGTGTAGTACAAGAGATAGGCAGATAACTAGACGGTTGCTGTAGAGTATGTTGGAAATGATCACAGGTACTGTGAGAGTAGAGAGTAGAGCTGCCTCATCCAGTCTAGGGGTGAGGGAGCTTTGAGGGTGCGGTGTGGGGGAAGAATTCATGGAATTGACACTTAAATTGAGGAGTGAGCTCTTTGAAGAAGGATAGGACTAAAGGCATTATCCCTGACAGAGGAGGCAGCCACTTGTAATCAGACCAGTCCTGAAAGAACATGGCGAGGTCAGGAAGCTGCAGTGGAGGATATGGATGGTGAACTGTGATAACTGAGGCAGCAGAGCAAGGCAAGGTCACGAAAACCCATTTCTATCATATTAAGAAATCTGAATTTTATCTTGAGGGAATAATGGTGGCTACCAATTATTAAGAGAATAGTATATCATAGTATGTACTATGCATGGGCTTAATTTCTTGATTCTGACTTCGGGAGTGTATCAAACTCATTTTTCAGATGAGGAAATAGGTTGGGAGAAGTAATTTTCTTAAGGATGGAGCCTGGGTTCAAACCCAGGTTGGTTTGGACTCTCAAAACTACTGTTATACAGCCTCCTCTTAAAGTCATTGGAAAATTAGTCTTTTAGAAAGATCGTTTTCCCCGTGTAGAGAATTAACTTACCAGGGCAAATCTAGATATGAAAAGCAGTTAGGAGCCTTTTTGCAGTAATTCAGGTAAGTAATTGTGTGGTGACCTGGAGGCAAAGGTCAGACAAACTAAGCTAGTTAGGAAGTAGGTCCACCTGGATGTGGAGAGTAAAGAAGAGGAAGATCTTGATTGAGGAGAAGCAGTTTGAGGGGCAAGTGTAGGCAGTTAATGAGTTTGGGATATGTTCAAATTATTCAAGTGGCAGTGCTAGTAACTGCATGCAGAGGTTTTGGAAGGAGAGAGCTTTGACTTGAGGTTTATAGGTTTAGGTTTTGCCAATTGAGAAATGTTTGACGCAATGGGGGAGATAAGAGTATTCATACAGAACAGATAGGAACAAGAGGAAGAACAACAAATCTTTGAGATGATTAATTTAAAATCCTGGGAAGGAGAGAGAAGGTGGTAGCTAGGTGACTTGACAGATTATGAAATGACTAAAAGATACACATACAATGTTATTTATGTATGTGTATGCAGTAATGCCCCCTTATCTGTGGGTTCACTTCCATAGTTTCAGTTACCTGAGTCAACTGCCATCCAAATATATTAAATGGGAAAGTCCAGAAATAAAAATTCATAACCTATAAATTTTGGACCATTCTGAGTAACATTATGAAATCTTGCACTGTCCTACTCGGTTATCAGATTGACTATGCTAAGTGCTTGTGTTCAAGAACCCTTATTTTACTTGTGAAAGTGCTTGTGTTCAAGAACCTTTATTTTACTTAATGATGCCACTACATTCACATAACTTTTTACAGTATTTTGATTATTGTTGTTAATCTTTTACTGTGCCTAATACTATCTGTGGTATGGTTTGGGGGGGCTACTGTATAAAAAGATAGGGAATCCAGGTCACAAGAAGGATTAACCTTGATGGGAAAAGAGGTAGATCTGCATTGGGAAGAAAGTAGAAACCTGAAGGTTCTGATGCTTAAGGGATAGAAAACAGAAAGGACTGTTGTTGTTAATAAGGGTGAGAAACAGGTGTGACTAAAGTTAGGGAGTGAGAACTAGAAGAAAAGGAGATTGTGGTTGAGACATGTGACAGCTTCGGGTTTCCAGAGGCGCAGTTCAGGGTTTGGGCATGGTTGTGTAGCTACAGTGGTAAGGAGATAAAGTGTGACTGGAGTTGAGGTCCAGGCCCATTTACATTATGTTAGAGTGATCCTCACAATACTGAAATGACCCAGGAGCTGGCATATAGGAGGAACATTTGAAGGTAGCAGCGAGGAATTAGGCAAATGCTGGCCTCCCTCTGTTCCCCATCCTTATAAAATGTCAGGCTTTAGAAAACAAGCAACTTTTACTCAAAAAGGCTCCAGGAATGCAGGGGAAGCACTGCCCTTATGGGAAAATAAGGGTGAAGTTACAGAGCTTTCTGCCACGGGTGCAGGGTGACACCTGAGGACACTTCTCAGAATAATATTTCTGAATGGATGACATAAAATATATAGGATTACAATTAGATTTTTTTTTTTGCCTACATTCATAATTAAAAGACTTGCTAAATTTCAGAGGTCAGTAAAAATAAAGATGTAATTTCTCTCCCATATAAGAATGCAGATTCCCTAAAATGTACCCATGGGCAACACGGACCCCAGGTTAAAAACTCCTGGCCATTAGGAAGAGGGGTGAATGGATCGTTCTGTGAGACGTATGAGGACTTAGGGAAGTCTACTAACAGAGCACAGTGGAAGAAGAAAAGACATTGGGAGTTGGGGTCAAGAAAGAGAAATCATGAATCGCGGAATCGTATGGGGATACAGATGAGCCATGTGTTTTGAGAGGTGGACAAGGATAAAGGATAAAAGCATAGTGGAGTTAGCTGACCTTAGTCAAGAATTTGACACAAAACAAATTCTTACGTACTTTTGGGAGTTTATGCAGGTGAGATCTGTGTTATTGGACCCTTGTTTTATCTGTCAGACTCACCTTGGTTCAGAAATCGAAACAAGAGTGGTCAGAAATAAAAAGTATGCCACCCAAGAAATCTTCAGCTGTAAGGAGGATAGTTAGCTGGATCCTAAGACACTTGACTGTCAGAAACAAGAGCCCCTTTGGGTGCCAGGGAGTCTACAGTGTGAGTAGTAGAACCAACTATAGCCTGAAATTGTCATGCTTTTGATCTAATATTTTAATGAGAGGATATTAAACACCTCCATTTAATATTTTCTTTCAAAGAATTTAAGGTCTGGAAGAAACTATGGGTCATGAAGTGTAATGTTGCATTCAGTGGCAAGTCCTTTTGATAGAATCTCTGAATGAGATTTAACCTCTCTTGAAACGCTGCTGTTAAAATACTCCCAAAATACTGCTGGATCATGAACAGATAGCTCTTTAAACTGAGCCACTAAAATCTGTTTGTAATTTCCAACTAATACTTCTATGAAAGGGATTTTATAAGCAAACAGACCATACTCTAGCTACTCTATTGTTTTCAAATAATAGCTACTCTATTGTCATCTGTGTATATTTTCCTGTCAGGTAACATTAACCAGTCACTAATGACACTAAGAACATGTATGGAAGTCCTGAGAGAGAACCAAATGTATGGAACTAACAAGGTAAACAACAGCCTTTCATCATTTGTATAGTTTTGTTTGTGTGTTTTTACCTTATATGTTTATCTTTATGTGGATTTGAATGTATTTATAGATGGTTCCATATCGCGATTCAAAGTTAACTCATCTATTTAAGAACTACTTTGATGGAGAAGGAAAAGTACGCATGATTGTGTGTGTGAATCCAAAGGCCGAAGATTATGAAGAAAGCTTGGTAATTTTAACGTATTTATCCTATACGGTCTGAGTTTCTGCAGAGAAAACTATTTGGGTGTGAAGAATGACATTTTGAACATTTTTAAAAAATTGATAGAGAACCATCAGTTACAGAAATGAACTGATGACCAATTTGTTTTAGTAATTTCTTAAGAAAGGCTTGGATACGTTTATTAGTAAAAATTTTTTAATAAAACAACTCTGTTTTGTATCTTAGCAAGTCATGAGATTTGCGGAAGTGACCCAAGAAGTTGAAGTAGCAAGACCTGTAGACAAGGCAATATGTGGTTTAACGCCTGGACGGCGATTCAGGAATCATGCTCGGGCAGGTCCAGTTGGTATGATTTGGTGTTGGGTCATTTGCCCACTAATTAGTTTGTGTGTCTCTCCCTTCAATCTCTTTCATATAAGTGAACTGTTTA